TGTCTGAGTCTGACTTTGTATGTGAAACAGGCTAAGCCAAACGAGGGCCTAGCATTGGAGGCCCGGACTGACAGTCCTGCCCTTCACTCCTACCATTCCCCAGTTCAGGCCCTCCCCTCCCGTCCCCTTTCTCCTCCACCAGGTAATTCTCACCCATCATGGCTCACCTCACCCCTGGCCCATCTCACGTATCACGCCCACCATGCCAGTCCTGCTGGTCACTCAGGCCCACAGGGATCTTTCCCTTTCTGCGCTCACAGTGCTCCTTTCTGCCCAAGGGTATCAGTAGTGGTCACATCAGGGAAGGCAGGAAGCAACTTTGAGAGGCCCCGCCCATGAGCCAAGTCCTTCACATGCAGATCTTTGCTCATTGTCTGTCTCCTCTCCTTGGTGAAATGGTGAATCACTCAAGAGTAGCAACTGTTGAAATACCCATCAACAGTAAGAAATATTTAGCAATTATAATAATACATTCATACTATAAAGTACAATGAAATACTATATAGTGATAAAAAAGAAAAAGATGAATTCAAGCAAGATGAATCTCACAGATATAATGCTGAACAAAGAAATCTAGGCACAAATGCCATGATATAGTGAAACTCCATTTATATAAAGTTCAAGAACACACAAAACTGACCTATGGTGATAAAAATCAAAATAGTAGTTACTTTTGTGAGGGTCAATGTGGGAGAAGGAAAAGAGAGATCAACTGAGAAGGTATAGAATGGCGTTTCCTGGGCTGTGGAAGTATTCTGTACTTTAATTTGGATAATGGTTACAGGATACATTAAAATTTTTTCATTAACCTGTACACTTAAGATTTGTGCACTATATACATTGTATTGTATATATTTTAGTCTCTAAATAAAAAAGAAAAATCAACAATGAAAAAAAAAAAAGAGTAGCAACTGTGTGTCATATTCCTCCAAATTCCATAGAGTTTTGGTATAAAGACATGCTCAGTATGTACTTACCAATGGCGCCCAAAATGTACGAACTCATGAACTCAATAACTGCAGACTGGAAGCAAAACTGTACCCCAGTGCTTCCCCCACCCCCACATTTCCTCACCACACCCATTACCTCCCAATTCTAGTTTCAAGCACTTTTCAAATCCGAGGCCTTTAGCACAATTTAAACTTTGGCTTAAAAATTCATTTTTTTTACAGAGCTGATTAGGACCTGAATTTGGAAGATGCTGGTTCTTTTTTTGACTTCAGTTCACAAAAGTTTTGCTTTATTGGAAAATTAGCTGTAGCACCTTCAAAGGCCTCCTCTTGTGCATGTTGAACTGAGCCAGACTTAGGGCTTTGAAAGGAATACCATTTAATCTTGGCAAAGCCCCACCTTTTGTTTCTGAGGGGGGAAAAGGCCCAAGGAACACAGAAGACGCAGGGCCAAGGACCAGTTGGCCACGGATGCAATCCGCTGCTGACGGGGAAAGGGCAAGAATCCTGGAAATACCTGAATTAGATGCTGAACT